TCCTGCATCCTCCCTCCTTCCCCCTCGCCACCCACCTCTTTCTTTGCACCCGAGCCTTCTGGGCGTTCCGCTGGGTTTCCCTGTGGTGTGTGAGTGCCTGCCTGTGCCTTCTTTTGTTGCAGCAGCACATCACCGTATAGCAGGAGAGCGCCCTCATGGTGCTCGTCGCCCTGCAGCACTCCCGCCACCACTGCTGCCGCCACGTCCACTGCCCCCGCCTGCAGCAACGCACGCCCACACTCCACCTTTATGTCATCCAATGAGACATCGCCATGTGGATCGCCCGCGTACGGACTGTCCACATCCCACGCTCCCCCGGCTCCGCCAGTCTTCATCCCTTCACCCTTCCCCGCCTTCCCCCCATCCCCCTCCTCTTCATCATCCTCCTCCTCATCCTCGGGCAGACCAAACATTTCAGCCGCCTGCTGCCCGCTCACCCTAGCCCGGCGCATCATCCGTGCGGCACTCTGCTTGCTGCCCAGCACCCCCACCATGCCCCCCCCTCGCCCGCCCTTCCCCGCGCCCCTGCGCTTGCTGTGCTGCGGCCAGCCCTGCTTGGTCGCGAGGGAGAGGGCACGGTCAGCCAGGGGGAGTGCTTCAGTGGGTTGCTGCAGGTGCAGAGTGGCCTGCGCGAGGCGCAGGTGGAGGAGGGGGTCTGAGGGGTGTGCTGCCACGGCTGCCTGCAGCACTGGGAGAGCGCGGTCGTGGCGTGATATGGCCATGTGCATGGCCGCTAGTGGGGGGGGGGAGGGCGGAGAGGGGTAGGGGAAGAGCGTGAGGAGAGAAGGGATGGGATGGGATGAATGCAGCAGCATGGAAGTGATCCATGTGCATATGGAGACTAGGCAGGCGAGTGATGGGAGAAATGCATTGTGCAAACCCTTACTCCCCTCCACGTCCCCTCTCCACGTCCCCTCTCCACGTCCCTTCTCCACGTCCCCTCTCCACATCCCCTCTCCACGTCCCCTCTCCACGTCCCCTCTTCACGCCCCCTCTCCACGTCCCCTCTTCACGTCCCCTCTCCACGTCCCCTCTCCACGCCCCCTCTCCACGTCCCCTCTCACCCAGCGCCCTGTAGGCGAGCTTGAGGTTGGGCACCACCGCGAGCAGCTCATTCGCCAGCAGCATGGCGTGCTGCCATGGGGGGAGGGCGAGGGGGGAGTGAAGTTGGGGTTTGGTGGGGTGGGTGGGGGGAAGACGAGTAAGGGGAGAGGCACAGTGGAGGAATAGTGGTGTGAAACTGAACGCAATACATAGCTGTGATCTGCTAAAGGGGAACGATGAGGAACTCACAGGTCAACCAATGCCACCCAAGCTACTTCTCAACCCTCGTTCCTTTCCACCATTCACACTAACTGCCCAAGCGAATGAGATAGATTGCAAGCTCAGAACGACACCCCTGGAAAATGCACGACCGAACAACCAAGGGACAGTAGCACGGCGCTGGCAGGAGGCCCCCTACTCCTCCTCCTCAATTCCAACCCCCACCCCGTCCGTGCCCCACACTCCAACAGCCATCGTACCTTGTACTGGCCCTTCCTCTGCGCCTGCAGCAGCTGCTGTGCTGCATGCCGCACCAGCGGCAGCGCGAGGGGCGACTGGCGGAGACAGGGATCAGGCACCAAAGGGGAGAACGGGAGAGTGCAGGAAAAGATTAAGTAGGGGTGGAGGGCTGAGAGGTGGTGCGTGAGTGAAGCGGAACAGGGGCTTGGAGTAAGGGCAGGCGAGGACGAGGGGGTGCAGCAGGCGTGTGGAGTGGGTGGGAGGTGAGACAGAGGTGCGGCAAGAAGAGCAGAGTAAACGACACGCGGGTACACGGCCTGACCTGTGCGTGTGAAGCAGCTGTGGTGCGCTGGGTGGTGGCGGCAGGGGAAGAGGGCACCGATGTCACAGGTGATGAGCTTGAGAGGTGCTTCGCGAATGCTGAGGGGATGGACGGTGCAGGAGCAGGCGGAGGCGCGGTGGTTTGAGAAGCTGAGGGAGGGGAGCGTGTGGGGGGGCCAGCAGTTGGTGCGGTGGCGGCACCATGGTCGGGAGGTTGCACTGGGGATTTTCCACTGTTCGCCGCCCCCTGTTGCTGCTGCTGCGGAGGCGATGGCTTGTGCGGTGATGGCTTGTGGCGGACGAAGAGGTCATCCCTGGAGGGTGGGGCATGCAGGCACGGAAGAGGACGTCAGAGAGCAGCAGGCAGGTATTTGGGTGGTTACATGCATCGAAAGAGTGAGGGGTGCATAGAGCAGGGAGGATGACTCCAGAAGAAGGTGTGGTGAATAGTGGGAGGTGAGAAGGTGATGGCACACGTGGTGCACGGGCACACGTGGTGCATGGGCACACGTGGTGCACGGGCACACGTGGTGCATGGGCACACGTGGTGCATGGTCACACGTGGTGCACGGGCACACGTGGTGCACGGGCACACGTGGTGCATGGTCACACGTGGTGCACGGGCACACGTGGTGCATGGTCACACGTGGTGCATGGTCACACGTGGTGCATGGTCACACGTGGTGCATGGTCACACGTGGTGCATGGTCACACGTGGTGCATGGTCACACGTGGTGCATGGTCACACGTGGTGCATGGTCACACGTGGTGCATGGGCACACGTGGTGCACGGGCACACGTGGTGCATGGGCACACGTGGTGCATGGTCACAGGTGGTGCATGGTCACACGTGGTGCATGGTCACACGTGGTGCATGTGCGCATGGCTTGTGGCTTGCTGCGATGGTATTAGCACAAGCTGTGACTCACAGGTCTTGCACTGCCTTGCTCAGCGCTGTGCTGCCACCCACCTCTTGACCTCTGCATGGCATGGCAGCGGGAAGGATGGGGAACCGGAGGGAGAGTGGCGGGTTGGAGGGGCGCAGTTGCATGAGACGGGAGGCACGGGGCCGGGAGGAAAGCCGGGAGAAAAGGGACGACTGCGCACATCCGCATCTACAGAGTGTGTATGGCATGGCGGAATTTGGCGATGAGGCAGGGCGCGTGGGCACGGAGCATGGGTGATGGAGCATGGGTGATGGAGCATGGGTGGGTAGGGCCGGCTCACCTTGATTTGTGGAGTGAGAGAAGTGAGGGCGAGAGAGGGGCGTGGGAGGGGTGCTGGTGGGGATGTGGCGGGTCGGGGTGGTTGGGTAGTACGGAGGGGTGTGAGGGGCACGGGGTGACACGGAAGGGAGGAGAGAGAGAGAGGGGGTGAGCATGCCGCAAGGGCGGCAAGAATGGGCGAGGAGATATGGTTGCAGTGGCATGGGGACGGAGGTGGGACGGAGCACGAGGGGAGTGAAACAAGGGAGTAGGGAAGGACGGTGGGGGGAGAGCATGAGATGGCAGTGGGAGATGAAAGAGGATGGGCATGGGCATGGGCATGGGCATGGGCATGGGCATGGGCATGGGCATGGGCATGGGCATGGGCATGGGCATACCTTGGCATTGAAAGCGGAGGCGAACCGCTGGTGGGGAAGGGGTGCAGGTGGGACAGGGGGCCAGGAGGGGGAGAGGCGAGGAGGCGCGGTTGAGTTGAGTGAACGGCGTTAGATGCGATTACACACAGGAAGGGAGGCGGGGCACATGCGATGCCAGGATAATCGGACGGGTGATGAGTGAGAGTACGGAGTGAAACGGGGGAGTGAGAGTGGGAGAGTGAGCGTGAGAGAGCGCGGATGCCGCATGTCTCGTCACTTTGCGGAGCTGCTACCCTCGACCCTCCTACGCGCACATCCCCTCACCGCGATGAGCTCCCCCGCTGTCCGCACGGCGCTCGTGCCGCCTGCGCTCGTCGCGGCCGCGCGATCCGCGACCACAGCGATGAGCGTGAATTGCGGATCGCCGTCCCAGTGCGCATACACCTTCATCCCCGCTCGCCGCTTCGGATCGGAACTGTCACGAGTTAACCTCACACACGCCTTGTTTTGAGGCGCCTCAAAAGCCGTCCCAGTGCGCGTACCCCTTCATCCCCGCGCCGCCGCTTCTGATCGGAACTGTCACGAATTCGCCTCACACGCGCCGTCTGAGTCGACCCGTGAGTCACCTCGCTTCTAATCGAAAGCCTCACGCGTTAACTACACACACGCCTTCTTTCCTACGGCTCGCTATATTTCACGACGTGGAGCTGCCTCGACGTTCACGAGAACTCTTTCAAAGGCCTTTGAAAGACGACTCCTCGTGCTCGCTCGCGAGATAACAACGACGGAGCTGAGCTGCCCCGATGTTCACGCGGCTGACGGGCACACCGCATCCGGCATCGTCGGTGCTGTGGGAATGGGGTAGAAGTAGAGCTGGAAATGGTCGTTTTCAATCAATTGACGTGCTGCGCGTAAAAAACCAGCTTATAACGTACAATGTCACAAACGCGTGTCGCCCTTGTGCGACTTTTAATGTATTTTTCATTTGTCAGCGTGAAACGCGCTGATGTCGCGGACGAGTTGCGTATCGACCCGTCATTGTCAACAACTCTGTACGCGGTTCGGAATGTCAATGCACCTGGACATTCCACACTAAAAATCTCGCGCGGGAAATACTTCCGCTCGTCAAAACCCCACCCGAACCAGACAGTTGAAGAAACAGGTGTTCAGTCAAGTTTGAAATCCAATCAAATGAGCACAGCTGTAAATTTCGCCTGGTCGCACAGTTTCGTGATACACTCATTTTTTGTGACGCGAGATTGCAAAAATGTGTAGACGCGACTCGGAAAAAAGGGGATTGAGACACAAGTGTCTCCACAGGAACGCGCCCTAAGTCGGCCCTACGTCTCCCCGCTACATCATATCCCCTCACCTACTCTCATCCCCCCACAACCACCCACGCCAATCCCCGCCCCGCGATCCACGCTCCCGCGACTCGCGCTGCTGTAGCTGAAGCGAGCGAGCGGGAGTGGCGGCCACCGCGAAGCACGCACCACGCCGCACACCGCATACCGCTCGCAGCACGGCAGTAGCATAAAGCGGCGGCCCGTCTCGTGGGGTGAAGGGCGGGGGCGGCGAGGGGCGAGGGTGAGGCATGGAGGACGCGATGCCGGCCGGCGGGTGGACGGACGCCGAGGCCACGGGCGCCGGCGCGTCGAGCAGACCGGATGGCGCGGGCGACACGCAGGGGTCGCAGTGCGACGGGCGACGGCTGCGATTCTTCGACCATGCGATGCGCAAGGCGTGCTGGGAGAAGGCGGACGTGGTGCCTGGGCGACACCCGGACAGGTGTGCGACTGCCGCAAATGCCACCTGCTCTCACATCCCCTCTCTTCCTGCCTCGTCACTTCTTTTGTCCTCTTCTTCTCGCCCTTCGCCCCTCGCCTGGCCTCGCAAGATCCCTCCCCGCCACGTGCAACGTTGACGGCCCCGGATGGCGAGGTGACCTTAGAGTTCGCCCCAAAAGTCACCTCGTCTCTCCCCGCCACGTGCGGCGCGCATTGTCCGGGGTGGCAGGTGGCGCGTGGACGCGGCGGGCAACACGGTGGGGCGGCGGTTCAACGCGTGCATGGGGTGCCTGTGCTAAGAGTTCGACCACATCGTGCCCTTCTCCAAGGGTGAGTGAGACCACATCGTGCCCTTCTCGAAAGGTGAGACGCACGTGCCGCAAGAGAGGTGCAACGCAAGAGAGGCGTGAAACAGGCGTGCAGCGCGAGGTTGAGGGGTTGAGGTTGAGGGGGGCGGAGGGGTTGAGGGGGGCGGAGTGAGCAGCAGCAGTGGTGCAGATCGGTAACGATGTGACGCGGTGACCGTTCCGCGCATGTGCATGTGCTTCTCATTGTGTGCTTGCTTCTAGCACCAGCAAAGTTCCCAACCGCATGTGCTTGCTTGCTCCTATGCACTGCACCCACCATCCACATGCCTGCACCTCCTCCTGTGCGTCATCCGTGCACCACTGCTCCATCCCTGCCCTCCCCCCCATGCCCCTGCACGGGAGCAGGCGGGGCGACCTCGGTGGAGAATTGTCAGCTGCTGCAGACGCGGGTGAACCGGTTCAAGTCAGACAAGGACCAGCTCTCACCACAGGAATACTCCCATGCCTCCTGCCACCTCACCCTCACTGGTAACCTTTGCCCCTTGTTCCTACCTCCTTGCGCCTTGCTCGCTCCCTGCTCCCTGCTCCCTGCTCCCTGCTCCCTGCTCCCTGCTCCCTGCTCCCTGCCCATGGTGTCCCTGCTTCGAGGTGGTCTGTGAGTTGACTCCAAGCTGGTTTTATCATGTCTCCTGTCACCTCGCTCTTGATAGTAGCGCTTCCTCCTCGCTCCATGCTCCTCCGTTCTTTGCACCACAACACATCCTCCACTTCACCACCACCAGATACATCACTCTCACCGCTCAAGTCCCCCATTCTTCCCACCCACATCTTCCTTTTCCCCCTCTCCACTCCTCATTCCACCCCATCCCACCCCTCCCCTGCCCCCTCCCTCGCATACCCCCGGCATGACTGCAAGGGCAGACAGGGACCTGGATGTGGTAGAGATGGCGGTGTACGATGATGTGGTGCGCCCGGGCATCCTTTACCCCCTCTCCACCCACCCCCTCATGCCAACCCACCACACACCCCACTCCTCGTGTCTCCCCCTCCACGGGCAGACAAGGATCTGGATCTGGTGGAGATGGCGGTGTACGGCGATGTGGTGCGGCCGGGCATGCAGTGCCGCGTCACCACGGTCGCCGAGGCCATGGGCGTGCTGCCCCCTGCCCCGCGCCGCCGCCCCACCAAGCCCCAGCAGCAGTACGGCGCGTGCCACTGGCCCGGTGCTGCCAGTGAGCAGGCGCAGGGGAGCCTGTCCTGATGGGTGAGTGGCGTGCGAGCGGGCAGCAGAGAGGGGCCTGCAATGAGGGGTCTTCAGTGAGGGGCCTGCAATGAGGGCTTTTCAGTGGGGGGCCTGCAATGAGGGCTCTTCAGTGGGGGGCCTGCAATGAGGGCTCTTCAGTGGGGGCCTGCAATGAGGGGTCTTCAGTGAGGGGCCTGCAATGAGGGCTTTTCAGTGGGGGGCCTGCAATGAGGGCTCTTCAGTGGGGGGCCTGCAATGAGGGCTCTTCAGTGGGGGGCCTGCAATGAGGGCTCTTCAGTGGGGGGCCTGCAATGAGGGCTCTTCAGTGGGGGGCCTGCAATGAGGGCTCTTCAGTGGGGGGCCTGCAATGAGGGCTCTTCAGTGGGGGGCCTGCAATGAGGGCTCTTCAGTGGGGGGCCTGCAATGAGGGCTCTTCAGTGGGGGGCCTGCAATGAGGGGTCTTCAGTGGGGGGCCTGCAATGAGGGGTCTTCAGTGGGGGGCCTGCAGTGTGAGTGGTTGGATTAAAAGGTGGCAAACATGATTCGTACGGTACGGTATACAGAGATGTGTTTGGAAGAACAGTTGACATATGATATGAGTGTGACGCACACATCATGCGTAAACGGTTAAAGTTCCTCATGCTGTGATGTTAACAAAATAAGAGGCACCGCACTGTGCAACTAAAGCGGTTGCTTGCAGCCACGGAAGGCACTCGAGTGGAGAGAAACTTTCACCTTCTACTCCTGCGAACGGTTTATGCTACGTGCGGCCCAAGTTACGGTGGGTAGGTACCGTTGTGCTTATAGAGAAACCAAGCACAAAAAAAAACAAACCCTGGTGGTGAATCTACTCAGATGACCAGCTGGATCTCAGCAAGGACCAGTTTGGTTTTTCTTAATCTGGGCCCCTTTGTAGCACATGGGCCATTTACCATAAAATACTGGTAGCTGTTTTATTTAAGGTACCATTGTTCTGCTGATGAAGCCACGTATTCTTTGAGATAGTACGGTATGAGATAGTGATACAGAGCTTTCCTGGGTGAAGTAGTGTACATCCTCTTGAGAGCTGATTATCTAGTTATGTCATTGGTCCACTGGTCCACTCACACGACTGAGCATTTCCACCCATGCAAGCTTTTGTTCTTAAGGTATTGATGGTGCATAATGCAACATACCGGTACCTTGCTGCTGGGTAGTGTTTAACGGCATTACAATAACATAGGGAGCTCATGCGTGTTCCTAGTAAGGTACTGCCGGTACTCAGAGAGACCACTGCATAGAGTAAGGTAGAAGAAACCAATGCTGAGAGCATCGTATCTGGAAGAGACCACTACTGACAGTATGGCAAATAAACAACTACAAATTAGATTCAAAGGTGATGAGATGCGACGCAAAGCCACACCCCCTTCACCCCTCCTCTTTCCTCCTCCCTCAAGCTGTTGAAAGCCTGCTGATTGCGTGCTACACCATGGCATGTTACACAATGCCATGCACCACCATGCCATTTCATGCCATGTCATGCCACATCGGAGATTGTGCGAACACATTTGTCAACATGTTGAATAGGCTTTCACCTGTCCAATACCCAATCACTCACCTCAGAAATAGTCCCTTCCACTCACCTCAGATCTACCGTAACCCCTTCCACTCACCTTACACCAGGAAGATGAGGGGAGGAGTAGAAAGGGGAGAACGGAAAGGCAAGGGCGGAAAGGGGGGCGGCGGAAAGGAGGAATGGGGGGGGGACGGGGGTGGGGGGGAGGGGGGGGGGAAGGGAAAGATGGGCGTTTTTTTCGTCAGTTCTCTCCGTCCATTTCCCCTCTTTCTCGCCTCCGCTCCGCCCACTCTCGTCTTTCTTCTCCCCTCCGCTCACCTCCCCTCTGCTCCCGTTCTCCCTTTTCCCCATCTTGCGTCCAGGCTGGGACCGTCGATGCGCACTCAAGTCCAGGCAGATGAAGGGGGAGCGGAAGGGTGAAGGAGAAGGCGGAAAGGGGAGGGAAAGGTGGGAAGGGGAAAGGAAAAGCGAAAAAGGGAGGGAAAAGGCGGAAAGGGGAGGAGAAAAGCGGGAAGGGGGGGGGGGGGGGGGGGGAGGGGGGGGGTGGGAAGCGGAAAGGGGAGGGAAAAATCGGAAAGGGGAGGGAAAAAGCGGAAAGGGTAGGGGAAAAGCGGAAAAGTAAGGAAATGGGCGCTTTTCCCTTTCTCCAGTCCACTACGTCCATTTCCCCCTATTCTGCCCTCCGCTCACCTCCTCTCACCTCCACTCACCTCCCGTCCTCCTTTTCCGCGTCTCGCGTCCAGAATATAGTCGACGCTCTGAAGTCACGAGGGGGAAAGCGTAAAGGGGAGGGGGAAGTGGAAATTACCGTCACCTCCACTCACCTCCTTTTCCGCGTCTTGCGTCCAGAATACCGTCGACGCTGTGAAGTTGACGAAACGCGCTGCCTAATCGACGAAACGCGAGTCGCTAATGACGCGTCAGAAATCGACGCTACTAATTCTTCCGCTACGAATGTTTCTATTTTCCGTGCGCTACTACATGTGGATAGAAGTCAGACCTGGAGCGCGCAACTTAGACTGTCTTACCGAGACTACGATATTTATTCAGATCTGATACTGCTAGCATGCCATTAAAAGCGTAAAGCGGCTAAAAATAAGCACGACCGAGAGCGTGAGCCACATGAAATACTTCGATGTCATGAAAAGCTGTACTTAGACCGACTACCCAGAGATCTCTCTTCACGAAAAACAACTATCGCAACTAACGAGATGCGTGGCGAAACTACTACTAAATGCAAGTTAGTGTGAGCTAATGGAAGTCACAAACATCTGGGAAATGGCGGGTGAAGTAGTGGTGGCAGGTTCGGAGTACCAGGGCTGGTACCAGGTCCGGTGGTTGTGCCAGGGTGTCAAAAACTCCTTCCTTCCATTGGTTCGCGTAAATTTCTTCTTATCCTTCCTTTCATATTCCAGCTGCCCGAACAGGTTTAGGAGGATGAGATGGGCCAGCTGACTTTTCCTGAACCAAACCAAAGCCGTCCCGCACCTCACGCAAAACCCACGCGGATCAGCTAAAAAAACTTATGGCCCAACTAAAACAGCGCCACGTCAACCACCTCCTAGAAAGCTTGAGCCTGTCCTTGCTGTTGCACACCGCATGCTCAACAAAACAAACCTCCCAACCCAAACCACCAATACTCGCCTTTGGCAAACGCGTTTGCGTACGGACAATTCAATCCGATTTGTATAACCTGAATGTGCAGAATGAATGTGCTGTACTACTTTGGTTGAACAGGATGGACAGGGCGGGGGCAAAATTTCAGCCACCTCGAACTGTTCTTCACGCGCCGCTGGCCACTGCCGCAATCTCGGCGCTGCAGTTCATTAGGGCGTGGAAGTTCCTTACGAACATGCGTTTGGTTGCTCCTGTGGTCGAACATCTGGCCTCGTCAATGGCTTGCGACATCTTTCGCTGGGTAACACACGAAACCCTACATTGCAAATCAGAGAGGCTTTAAGGTTTCGGAAGGGGCCTTGGTCGCTCTCAAGCGAAGAGCTCTGAGTTCATCAATCACTCGGAGCAAATTGGATTGCACCACATCACCCACGACAACACCTGGTTGCATGTCGCGTGATTCTACTTACGTCGCCAATCTTTGTCTTCTCCTGGACCCAAAAACGTGGGGCGACTAGGGGGCACGGGTTGTGAAACGTGAGTGCTTCTAGCAATTTTCGTCACTCTTTTAACGATGCTGAATGGCGAGAGTCGCAACATGTGTTACTGTCGCAACTGCGCGACTATTGCCTTGTTCACAGGGATCTTCCACGCTCTTAGTCCATCACACAAGCCACCCCGTTCACCACACCTTCCCACCGTTGCGGTCAACTCCACCACCACCATCCATCCACTCATAACACACTATACTTTTTCGCACCACGCACACAGCCTGGTGTCAGAATTCGGGAATTCCCTCCCACACGGCGGCAGCACGGCATGGTGTCGCGCCCCGTTTACCGCACTGCACCCATGTAGATGCTGTAGAATTCTATTACTCACAACCGCATTTGGTTCAAAGCCGAGCTTAGACGCACCGTCAGAGCCGCCGTTCAAAATGGCGATTTTGTATCCACCAATCAGCAGCAGGCTTATCCTTCTGTTTCAGCAGCTACCTTTTCCTTGCATCTCCCTCGAGCATCTCATTCGCTCCATATAATCTAGCGTTGTTGCGTTTTTGCAGTTCTTTTTCTTCCTTCTCCAAGCTCCAATCCAATGAGCTCACACGGATGGTACACGGGGAAGTCAAGGCATGAGGCGGCGTTGAGTTAGAGAGTCGGGTGTGGGGTGGGTGGGTAGATGTCGTGAGGAGTGAGCTGCCAAGTGCCTTGACTAAACCGTGTACTGTACCGAAATTTCCGCGGCAACCATTTCACCGCGAAATCTGGACCGCCATACCTACGTGGCGCGACCATATCTGCAAGGTCTTCATTGAACTATCTTCACGCGACGAAGATAAACGGCGAATTTTTCGCAGCGAGGTCTACGCTCCGAACTCGCCACGGAATGGACTTCGATAGCTTCAAAGTGAAGCACGGCGCCTCCCTTGCTGATTCAAAATGCTGCTGGTGCGGCCTCTCCCGTCGTTGCGGCGATTCCAGTCTTCACCAACACAACGACGGGCCACCTGAACGAAGACGGTCGTGTGGACAACCTGAAGCCGATTGCTCTCAAGCTTCTCAAGTCCAACCTGAAGTCCAGATTGCCGATTGGCGATCACTCACCGTCCCCGCGAAAGGCGCTTCTTGTTGAAGTAAGTCATGCCGATTGGCGATCATTGTCGCTGGTCTTTTCTTCAGTTCTACTTTTTACTAATCCTTTCTTTCCTTCTTCTTTCCAGACCTAAGCCATGCCGGAAACGGATAGGAGCTTCCACCGTCGCTGTCGTCTTCATGAAGGAACTCAAGCACTTATGATAACTGGAAGAACGCCTCCAACGGGTTTCAGGCCCGTCACCAACTGTTCG